GAATTTGGTACATAGGGTTTGTTTTCCAGCTCTTAAAAGGACAAGGGATTTTTTTTTTTTCTCAACACAATGAAAGGCTGAAAACACTTACAGCATCTTTGATCGTGCCTAATTCCTCTGCCACTAATGAAAAATAGCTGGGGAACAGTCCTAAAATAGCTACCAAGCCAAATTCTACAGCAGGGAAGTATTTTCAAACAAAGATAGTAGCAGAAAAAAACAAACAAATACTTCCAGCTTTGTCTATATTAGGCTTTAGTGCTTTTTGTAACTGCTGTGAATGTCAGTTCAGGTCGACTCAGGCCAAAAACCAGGGAGAGAGTGGTGAAGATCCATTACTGCATTGCTTTATATACAAAGCCATCCCCCAGACCAGAGCTCGGTAGCACAGTCTAAAGAATCAGTTGATGCCTCAAGCCTCCATTAGGGAGCTTTCCACCTTTGTTACTATTTTGGAACCAAACCATAACAGCAATCCGACAGAAAAATTTTTCAGAAAAATTGTTAACTGGCAATAGCACTTCCAAATGTAAAGTCTGATTCAATTTCATTAAGCAATCAATCTTCAAAAAAAAAAAAAAACCAAAAAACATCAAATGCCCTTGTTGATAACGAAAAAGGGGGAGGGGAAAGTATAGAAACAGAAGCAAAATCTACACAAGTAGCATGGAATGCAGTTCTTGACAGAAAATTCTGGAGGATCCTAGCAGAGCCTACTGGAATTTTTCTAGATCCTCAGAGTATTCCCTTAAACACCTGATACTACCTTGACTCCACTGACTCATAGGTAGATGTGTAGCTTCAGTTGTCACCAAAATATCAGAGAGATAAGTAATAACTAACATGTGTAGCAAACAAGATAAAGATATTTATATACACTCTCTATATAACACTGAGACAGAATACAGAGGGTACAGCCACTACCATTATCTGCAAACAATTCCATATGAAAGTTACTAATTGCTACTCGAGAACACAGAGACAAACAAAACAACAGTGCAAGTGGGAATCCGACAGTGAAGTCCACGTTTTCACTTGCCCAATGTACACCAGGGACAAAGCATGTGAAAAGTTTAACACAGTGACACCAAAACTTCAGAACACGGCATATGGTCCGACTGTCACACACTGACATTTCCAAATTATCAAATTTCACGTGGAAGCAAAACAACAGTAACGTTTCCTAAAGTTCTCTCTCACTGGCCTTCGTAAGGAACACAACTCTCGCCTCAGTTTATACTCAGGCTGAGGACACCATACAAGCTATTCAGAGAGCACTCCAGCTCCACACTTCCAACCTGGAGATTCTCTGTGCTTTAGGGACTCCACACCTGTTTTTCACATAGCTTCTCACTTTTTTTTTTTTTTTTTTTACTGTGACAGAACTATGCCTGTGCAAAAGTCAACTGACTGGACTTGTGTTGTCCCCCCTAGGTTCCTGGGCACACACTGTTTGTCTTCAACCTCTGTTTTAAATTAATTAGATTTCTCTACTCACAACCTTTAGAATAGTTTAAGCAACCCTTTATGGATTTCCTCTGCCATTCACATTAAGCCTATTTGATGTTGAGGTTGAAGGGCTGTTATTTCTTGAAGAATAAATACCAATATTACACATCTCTGCTTATCCCTTCTAGTAGTACAATGCTAATATAATTACTGATGTAATAATCCAGGAATAAAGCAGACTGGAATTTTTCACTGAAACAATATAAACTCAGCTTAGAAGCATTTCTCCTGTTCCACCTGTCTGCTATGGCAATCTGAATATCAGCATTCCTAAATATCCCAGATTCTGCATGTGTGTGATACAAAAGTTTCTCCCTCATAAAGCACATTTATAAAACAAATACCTGTCAAAGACAAAAGCACTGAGTGCAGTATTCCCTTAATCCCAATGAAAAGGTCCTGGGATCTGCAATGTCTTGTAATTTTCTCTAGAAAGTAACATTTAAAAGAGTGACAGAGTTTAATACCCTAAGCTTGACGCTCACACTCATTCCTTCCCACAAACACTAGCTGAGAAATACATTCATTAAGATTTAACTGAGCAACTTAAAATCTACGAATGTGCAACGTCTAAAAAGAATCTTCAGAGCCAAAATCAAAAAAAATTGTGCTATGCTTTTGTTTCAGTTAAGTGAAACCCAGTCAAATAAACAGTAAGTAGGAAAGTACTTTAGTTATCTGTAAAAATAAAATAATTTATCTCTATAAAACAAATAATTCTTTATATATAAATTATATTTGTGTACATTATGATAATGGTCATTTACTTTTACCACACTGATTTTTCAGTGTGTTATTCTTGTGATAACAAGCCTGTTTTGCTCAAGTTAGTAATCAAAAAAGTTGTATGAATATGTATGCTGAATTCTAATTTTCCTGAATTCTAACTCAAGTAGAAACTACTGTGTCAACGAAGGATCCTTCATGTATCTTTTATAACTTCCCATCCATTTACATTAATTGATATAATTTTCCCAGCGTTGCAAGATACAGCCAACACTTAAAGCCAACACAGAAGTAAAAGCTGTTTCTATCACCTAAAACTCCACACTTCCAGTTACTTTCAGCCATTTACTCTTGACTATCTATTTCTTATCAATACCAAGAGCTTTGTAAACCTGCAGTATCATTGTAGGGACACATTTCTCAATGCTTTGCAGAAACAACAGCAGGGAAAACCAAACACTCAGTTCACATTTCTGTCCATTTCAAAGTTCAAGCCTCCTAAAGAATCACGAACAACAGAACTATAAACAGGCCACCTTTCGATTTCTTTAGAGTCTTTAATCTCAATCACCTTAAAAAAATAAACAGCAGCCTTTACGTAAAACTTTCAAAGCAGCCCATGAATATACTGGTGCCTCACAACAGTGTTCTGGAAAAGGTCAGTGATTCATCAGCACAGGGACTGACTGGGCACTGAAACTATTGTCCCTCAACTCATTTTTGGTCAAGAAAGTCACTTTCATTTGTGTGATTCTTGGCTTAGTGCATCGAAAAGATTTTTCTGATCAACAAAACATGAATACACAAAAATCTATTTTCAGCCAACTTTTATCCAAAAGCAAAACTGCGCTCTAATCCTTTACCATAATAATTTCCAGGTAATTTTTCACAGATAGCCCGTAGAGCCAAAAACCAGCAAGCTGCTTTCTGCTAAAGCTGCCACAGCTAGTGGACAGACTACAACAGACATGAAAAGCTTATCATTCTTTGGCCACAAGTTTTAATATTGCATCTTTGTTCAGCCTCTACCTTTGTTCCCTGAGACAACCACAGTCAGACTTTATGCCAAACTAAAAAAAACTGTATTTCATCTCAGCCTTAGCCCCAGGCCTCAGATCCTGAAATGTGTGTCTTTGAAAGCGTTTAATCCCTGGCCTCATAACTGACTCAAAGCTAACACACAAAAACAACACCCAGTATCAGGAGTCAGCACTGCAGTTTTGGGGTGGGTTTCTTCCTTTTTCACACACTAAATGAGACCCCATAAAGCAACGAGAATCAATCAGTGTGTCAGAACACGGTAACGTGTACAGTGTGGATCAGGGCTTCAATTAGAGGGAGGCTTGTTTGAAATTTTAGACCCTTTTCAGCTTCCATTTCAGATTCCCCAAACCTCTGAAGAGATTTTTAATTTTGTCTCTCTTGGGTCAAGGAGACTGTTCTTCTCATTTTGCATCACATGCTGTAACTTTATAAAAAGCAGCACACTGCTGGGTTCAGGCAGTAACAAAGGATTGTGGTGATGTTTCCACCACTGAAGGTATATCTAAAACCTGGATTTGTTCCACACAATCAAAAATGACTTGCTAATAAAAGTTAATTACAATGTTTTCAAACATTGTCTTGTTAGCTAAATGATGCCCAAAGAAAATATAAGCTTTTATTCAAGTAGAGCATCTTTTTTGTTGTTATTATTATTTTACTTGTTTATATAGGGCTCCTTCTAGTTTTGGATTCAGCCTGGACCCAAAAAATGAGGGCAGTGTTATTCAGAAATTCTAATCTGAGACAACCACACTTAATAAATAAGATTGACAGAATTCAGTTAACTTTTAATATCAGAACCAAATGAAAACATGTATAAAAATTACACCCTCTGAAAAACCTCTGTCATAAAATATTAAGGAATATCTTGTCTATAAATAAACAAGACCGTTAACACGAAAATATAAAGTCTATCAATTTCCATCTGCTACTTGTTTCTCAGTCTGGTTAACGAGATAAAAACAATTCTTGAGCCAACCTCTGCCATAGGCACCTATTTAGCCGTAACATTTATAAGCAACTAACCAGCCCACCTCTGCAAAAAGTCCGACATGCCAAGAGTGCCAGTTATTCTTAGAGTGAGACATGACCACAATTTCACGTAATTAGAGATGTTATAAAACGCATCCCGGCCGCTCTCCCCACCCCCCTTCACCACTACCACCATTGCAGGAGTGACTTGTTACACATCTCGATGAGCAAGTAACATTCCCTGCCCGGGGAGAGAGCGGAGATCAGGCCATAAAAAGGGCACGAGATGCAAACAGGGATCCTCCCCTCGCCGGGCTGGCGGCCGCGGCTGCCCGGGAACAGCCTCGCCCTGCCCCGCACCGGCACACGGGGGTCCCGAGGGGAGCCAGAGCTCCTTCCCCGTCCTCGGCATCGCCGGCGCGGGGAAAAAGGTGCCCCGAGCGAGCGGGTCACCCCGGGGACGGAGGGGGGACCGGCGGGGAGGGGACTCGAAGGAGCAGGGCGGCCGGAGAGGGCTGGGGGGCGACCGCTGCCTTCCCCTGGGCGGCGTGCGGGGGACAAGGGCGGCGGGGCGAGGGGGCACCCGGTGCCCCCCCAGGCCCGCGAAGCCGTGGGCGACACGGAGGCTCCGCGGAGGCGCCGGAGCCCTCCCCGCCCGAGGGGCCTCGCTGCGGGCGGCAGGGGCCTGGGGAGCGGGGTACCCCGGCCTGCCGGGCCCAGGGGCGGCGGGCCGGGCGGCGCTCACTCACCTCGGGAGGCAGCAGGCGCCGCCGGGTGCGCATGGCGAGGGGGATCCCCCGGGTGCTGCCCCGGGAGCGCGGGGGGCCGGCGCGCCCTCGCCGCCGCCAGCCGGGCTCGCTCGCTGCCTCCGCGGCCAAGGCCGCCGCAGCGCCCGGCAGCAGCGCCCCCTGGCCGGCCCCGGCGGCAGCGCACGGCACTGCGGCACCGCCGGGGAGGCGGCGCGGACCGGCCGCGCCCCCGCCCCGCGCCGCGGGCTCCGCGCCGGCACCGCCGCCCGCCCTCCCCGCGCGGGGTCCCGCCGAGCCCGCGGGACCCGCCGCCACAAAAACACACGCACGGACACACACATACACGGGGCTGGGGGGCGGCACGGCCGGCAGCCCGGCCGGAGGGCACCCACGCACCACACCGAGCGAGCTGCCCCGCGGGCGGCTGCAGCGGGGATGTGATGTGACCGAGCACTCCCTGGTCAGCGGCGCTCGCGGCTGGGAGCCGTCCGTGTGTTATTTCGCCATTCCGCGTTGAGGACCTTCACCATCGGAGAGGGACACCCGCGGCCGCCCTGAGGGGTGCGAGGCACGGGGCCACCCGCTCCCAGGCACGTCCGATCGTCCGCAAAGAGGGTTCCAGAAATGAAAAAATAAAACAAACGAAAACACGCCACACCAAACAACAACCAAACACGCTCGTTCATCACACGAGCTGCGATGGCTAGCTGACAGGTTATGCCAAACCGTGACTGAGCGCCCGCAGCCTCGCCCGTTCTCTCCAAGAGGAGGGGGCCGCCCATGCCGGGAGCGGGACACTTCCCCGCCTGGCTGCAGGCGCTCGGGAGCTCCAGGAAATGTCAATTCTCGAGTGTCTCGGTCCGGTGTGTACACGGTGGGCGGGGGGATGGACAGTGCTGGGCTGCCGTCCCGGACACATCGTGCACCGCCAGCCCCTCGGCCCCCGGCAGCCTCACCCTTCCCGCAGCAGAGCTCAGTGCCTCAGGAAACCCTCACCCCTCGCCTTACGACCCCCTTGCCTCAGGAACCCCTCGCATCTGGATCCTTCACCTCGGGAATCCCTCATCCCGGCTCCCCCTCACGAAGGGCTCGCTCCACGCCGGGGGATGGGAAGGAGCCGCTGCCCCCTCACCTTCGGGCAGTGCTGTGACCTCCCAGCTGCGGGAGGGCCATGTCACCTCAGGAGGGATGGAAAGGCGAGTGTGATGGCTGCTAATGCAGCTGCACAGCCATTCCCTCTTCTCAGGCCTTCACACTTCTAGGCTATCACTTTCCAGCAGGTTGGGCTTCTCCATTAACTTCCCAGGTATGTCAATGAATACGGTGTAATGAGCCCCGGTGATAAAATCTAGGCCTCCTTGCTCCAAGAGCATCAGCCCATCCCGCTGGAAATGAAAGGGAAGCACTTAATGTTTATTCATTGATTCTGGTAGAACTATGTGCTTTTCAAGCAGAAAATGCAAGATACTCCCAATCAACTGAATCATCAATCCATGGGCAAAGAGCTGAGAAGATAAAAAAATGCTCATCAATCATAGCTGGGAGTAGCATGTTAATGGAGATGGAATCTATTTTCTCCCATAAAGCAGTCCCTGTTAACCCCAACTTGCTATCTCTGCAGCAATTAATGGTGTCATGCTTGTGAAGCACAGATGAGGGCTTCAGATCGGTCCAATACACAATTACCATCCTCAAAACAATTCTTTTGAAACACCTCAGACTGCTAAACACACAATGTGCCTGGCGAACTAAAAGGAAGTAAATTAAAGAGTGAGCAATGTAACACTCCATACCCTCTGGCCAAATGCATGCAAGCACATAGGTCTGCCATCTACAGATGTCTCACAGAGGCATATCACTATCATAATTTTGTTCTTCTTTAATCCCTCTGGATACAACCACTCCTTGCAATGTTTTCTCACCAAACACTGAGAGGTTTTTCCTGAAGTATATTATAATCTGCTGTTTTGCAAAAGTGCTGTCACATGAAAGCATGCAAAACATGCAATGGGAAACATCTCTGTGAGTTAAGGTGATGGAACATGGTCTCATTCCCCATTGCTTCTGGGTATCTTGGATGCCTCATGAGTTGTTCCTAATGAAGATGTATCTAGAGGAGCAGCAAACTCCACAACACCCACATGGCTGCTCCAGGCAGTCGTGGTGCCAGGGACCTGATCTTAAGACAGGGAGATTGTCCATCCTGTGTTCTCACTGTGCTCCCTCTGCAAGTGTCCAAAGAGGAAACATTTCGCTATGGATAGCGAGAAAAACTATTCCAAACCAAACCAATCATTTTTATTCCAAGCCCCAGCAAAGTTGTAAGACACGGAGCACGACCTTCTACTTGGCACATTCAGTGCCGCTGTCAGAGTTACAAATTCTCCAGGAAGTATCTTCAGCTCTTCCATGTCCCTGATCCTTTACAGCATCATCATGAGAAATCATGCCCAATGGTCTCCCCCATGATAGCACAGACATTTGGTATTGAGTTTCCTACCTCTTTTCCCAAGTATTTTGCCGTTGTTCCACAGCTCTTGAGGAGAAGTTACCAAGGAAAAGGCGTAAAGAAGAGCATATAGAAAAGGATACTCCAATTTGCAAAAGTCAGGGATCTGGAAAGAGGACGAGAAGCGCAGTTACAAAGGTGAGGGGAAGCTCTGAGGTGCCCTGGTTGAAGGGAGCAGCAGAGTCACAGGCTCAATACAAAGACATCCACTGGGAGCTAGGAGATCCAGGGAATTGATAAGGGATTCAAAATGATGCAAGAATAATCTCTGAACAACAGAGTTAAGGACAAATAAGAGGATTTTTTAACTGCTCGGTGAAAGTTGCAGAAACTAGGGGGGAAAGGAAGCTTAATAAAGGTTCCACTCTGTTCCTAGGTGGAAAGAGTAGAATGGTTGACAACAGTGTAGGAAAGACAGAAGAACTCAACAACTACTTCTTGTCTGTATTTGGGGAAGAGGCAGATGATAAACGAATACCATGTGATGATGATGAGATACATTCCATTACAACAAGCGCTGAGGAGGATGTTAAACAGAAGCTGATGAAGTTGGGCATCAGCAGACCCAAGTAACTTCCATCCAAAAGTTTTAAAAGCACTGGCACAGAGTATCTTTAGACCATTAATGTTGATTTCAATAAATCTTGAAACACTGTTAAAGTTCCAGAGGACTGGATGCAACATTGTCCCAATGTTTTAAAAGGGTAAACAAGGTGACCGGGGTAATTAGGACCTGCCAGACTGACAAGAATTCTCGGTAATATAATGGGACATATCTACATTACTTGATTAAAAAACAATTAAAGGATGGAAATGCAATAAATGCAAATTAATGTGGAAAATAAATCTTGCTGAAATAATTTGATTTTTTAATGGCATTACAAGTTTTGCTGATGAAGGTAAGTAGGTCTGCAAAATATTTATTCTGACAACTTGTAGCATTTTAATTAAGAAGCCAAAATGATACAGATTCATCACAGCACATTTAAAAGCGCTGAGACTCCACCTAACTGACAGTTACAAAGTGGGGAAATAGGAAGTCATCATCAAAGAATGTGTTTCTGGGTCCTCTGGCAATTAGTTCTATGCTGTATTGCATTGATATTAATGGCTCTAAGGAAACCAGAAAATCATCACTTACAAAGTTTGCAAGTGATGTAAGCAATAGGGATTCATAAATGACAAGTCATGCTGTAAAGTAGCTGAGACAGCTTGATAACAAGTCATATGCATTTCTGTACAGCCAAATGTAAAAACATGCACCAAAGAATAAAGATGATGATTATAGGATGAGAGAATCTGTGCTTTACAAGTTAATGCTCAAAAACCTGGAGAATCATCGCATATAATCAGAAGAAAATAAGCAGGTGGTGTGGTGCTGTAGCCAACAGGCTATGCAATCCTTGGGTATATAAACAGAATAATGTAGAAAGATGTCTGGTTTTCTTTTTTTTTTCTGGTAATAGTTCCAATGCTCCTGAAGTCTGATATCCAAGTTCCTTAATTCCTTAATAGAAGGGGGGAAAAAGATGGTTCAGAGCAGATGAATAAGAATGAACTAGATTGGAAGGGAAAATGTTCAGTCTATTTCAGTGTCAAAAGAGAAGGTGAAGGGGTGACTCAGTCTCAGGTTCTAAGCACTCCCAAAACTCAGTGACTGTATTCAGCTTCCCAGTGAGGTCTTCTACTAGGGAAGGTAATTAATCACTGAGACACTTTAGAAAGGGACAAGTTAGATTTCCCAGCACTGGAAATATCAGAATCAGGTGACTGTAGAAACAAAATTTTCTCAGAAGCAGTTCAGTGCTGAAAGTCTGCTCCCCGTGAGACAGAGCTCTGTGAGCGTGGCTGTGGATTCTAATTGCTCGTCTGCGCAGAACCCAATTTCCTCGGGCACTAAGAAGTAACAACCTGTCATCCCTTTCAGCATCATCTGACACGGCTCATGTGCTCCTCAGCACATGATGGCAGCAGCCGTGGGGATGGCAGTGTTTACACCAGTTGAAGGGATGGGTGGACTCGCTCCCAGAAGGCAAAGCCTTTGAAGCATATTGCATGCCAAGAGAACTCTTCTCACCCGGCAAGTCTGAGACACGTGTCGCTGGGAGCTGGGAGGTTACTCCTGACAAGTGTGACTGTCTGATTATCCTGCTACTAAACTCTTCCTCTGGCATCTGCTGCTGGCCACTGTCATAGGCAGGATACTGATCTTGTGCCAAGCAGTCTCTCAGGTCCACACCAAAGCTGATTCATGCCTGATCTCGGAACATTGGAGTGGGAATTTTAGCAGGAGCAGAGAACAGATGATTGATAATAGGTATAAGCACAAGAGAGGGCAAGAACCAGGGGAGAGAAGAACAGGAACACTTAATATTAGAAGGTCAAAGACTGACTTGCGTAGGGAATTGTATATAAGGCTCTGGACCCCTCCAAAATCTGACAGTGATGGAAACATTCAGGAGTTTCCCAGTCTGATCCGGTACCATCAGACAATTAGGAAACCTTGCAGCAAAATGTTCATTACTTTCCCAATGTAGTTTCTGAGACAAGTGCTCAGTCTTCTACTGATATTCAAGATCTCGA